TATATATATATATAGTGGTTGTAGGAATTGCCGACGAGCACTACTAGTAAGCTATGCTGTGGTACCACCTTAAAAGTGGCATTACTGCCCTACATTCTTTGTAGTTACTCATCATGAGCATGTTGCTATTGATGCATGCGTGATGACTGCTAGCTCTGATACCTCGCATTCAAGCACCTCCCAGCCCCTCTCCTTCAAACATTCTTTCTCACTCGCAGTACCACAAGCAACAATACATAAACAAATGAATATATGCTAAGATTCTTTCAATAAGTACCTTTGTCGACCCATCAAACGATATTCTTTCCACTTCGCTTCTTTATCTTTTTATCGTGCAGTCCTATCTTAAACAATCGTTTTACATCGTTATATCCTCATCGATTCATTCGTTTAAATCTCTTCTAACCATCCATTTTCAGTATTATTATTATTATTATTAATATTAATAATATTATTATTATTATTATTATATTATTGTCCTGATCAGTACTGTTATGATTATTATTATTAGTGCTGTCATCATTATTATTATTAGTATTATCATTTCCAACATTACTTTTCGTTGCTTCCTTCAAAAATTCATCAATGTTTCTTAGAAATATTACGTTGATAAATGTAAATAACAGAAGTTTTAAATGCTATACAACCACCGTTATGCGAGTTCAATTTACTGAACAATTATACATCCCTATTTTATATGAACTAAAAAATAAATTTTTTTCATCATGATGATAATTATTATAGATATTCAACTATTATATTTGTATGGTATAAATATATGTGGCGCTGCATTGTTGATGTTAGTGTCAATTATTATATTCAATGGTTATATTTAATTATAGTCAGTATAACCTTCATTTGACATGTTCAATCTATGGAATGAATCATATTGAAATACTGCACTGGACCGGACTGGTCTGGTCTGGAAGAAAGAAACTTTATCAGTGAATCAACGAATTTGGTCAAATGAAATAAGAATGATGTGATAAAATAAATATTAATTACAACATCAGTTAAAATATCCATAAAAATTGCAACAACATAAGTAACGAAATAAAAAATACAAACCTGCTGAATGGTCAGATGAAAGAAGTAGAAAAAGTTGTGATGCAGACAAATTCAAGTCTAAGCAATGTTTGTCCTAGACCTATACGGTGTCTATTGCTGCTCACAAGAATTATGATATCGTTCGTTGATAGCGTTGAATTGCACATTGGCGGTGTATTCCCTCTTGAAGCTGGCTCGGGTGGTTGGGCCGGAGGCCAGGCTTGTCTTCCGGCTGTTCGCATGGCACTTTATGATGTTAATCATAACCCCGACGTACTGCCCGGTTATAACCTTACATTACATCATCATAACAGCAAGGTTTCGTGTTATATTTTATCATTATGAATATTGTTTATTGATATTAATAAACTACTCAATTGTTTCCACAACATTCACAACTGGATCCATCCATCAAATTAATTAGTATCTTATTTTCATATTGGTGGTAATCATCCTATTATCTGTTCATCAATCAGCTTTTTTTTCTTACTCTTCTATTGCAGTATTAAATTAGATCCACTGATTCCAAAAGTGGAATAATAAGATAAAAACACGATCAAATGATTGATCAAACACACATGTGATCAACAAAAAACTTCACTTCTTGATCTTCTACAAAAAGTATAAACAAATAATCGCACGCATCTACTATATTCAGTGTCAACCCGGATTAGCAGCAAAGCAAATGTATGAACTACTTTATAAACCACCTGTAAAATTAATGCTTTTGGTGGGCTGTAGTCCAGTCACCACTGTGGTCGCAGATGCAGCTCCAGTTTGGAATTTGGTCGTTGTAAGAGATTTGTTGATAATTTATTCACAAATTGTTTGTCTTAAATATTGCCAAGCTTTATTCGATGTTATTCATTTACCCCTTATTGTGCACCTATCACCACCTTGATTCTCCTTCTTCGAACTGCTCATGAGTATGAAGGAAGCAATTGTGCAAAGTATTCATAAATGCTCATAATCACTGTCAGATACGATTGATCTTACTGACTAAAGAAGTGTGTTCATATTTAAGAAAAACTCCGTCTTCCTTACTGAGAGCAAACGTGAATGCCCATTGGACACATATAACTTGAACATATCATTTCAAATCAAATGAATCGTATACAAAAGTATATCATCTTACAGTTATCTTACGGAGCAAGTTCGCCGGCACTCTCCAACAGACAACGATTTCCAACTTTATTCCGTACGCATCCAACTGCAAATATGCAAAATCCAACCAGGTTCTTCGTCCATTATCCAATTTATTTAAAATCTATTATTCTTTCTATGTTATATTGTAAATTAGAATATGCCATATGTGCTTATTAATATGTCAAAATAATTTATGTATCTAAATGTGTAATCGGTAAAAGAATCAACGATCGAAATTAGCATTCTTCACGACGATAGTTTGATGATTTTATGTGCAAATAATATAATATATGAACACAGGATATCAACTGAGAAATGAACATTGTAGTAACTGAGAAATGTGATATTATTATTACTCTTATTATTGTTATTACTAAATTTGTAGTTACTGTTAAATGAAATATGGTGTTTTCAGAATTCAACTATTTCATAAGTTCAATTGGCGTAAAATCACTATTTTACAATCAGTTGAAGAAGTTTTCACGTCAACATCGAAAGATCTCGAAAACCAGTGTCGTGAAAGTGGTATTCGTGTCGAAAGACAGTCCTTCTACGGCGATCCAACAGATGCCGTTAAAACGCTCGTTCGACAGGATGCACGCATCATTGTTGGATTATTCTATGCAACTGAAGCGAGACGAGTGCTATGTCAGGTGCTGCTTTTGTTCTCATTCAAAACTTATTTTCGTTATACATATTTCAAATTCACGTAATATTCGCTTACATACTCATGTATATGCCTATTTGATATTATCATATATCCCGAATATATATCCCGCTTTAACTCCATAATCATCCTCAAAAGATCTTTCCCTCTCAGCGCTTTTCAAATATCACACTCCTCTCTCAGTTCAGCGCCCATCCTCGAATTTCTTACCGCTCTCACTCCTCCAAGTTTCACTCCAATTCCCCTAATGTAGATAGAGTCAACATTATAGAGCATATTACATGCTTTAATATTATACATTTCACGATTTTTACCTCATCGTTTTCTTCTTTAATAAATCTAATCATTTAAAAACAAAAAAAATACTCCGACTGTTTCATTCATAAGCCGAAATACTTGCATAATTCACTTCCTTCCCATCAACGCCTTTCTTCTCCATCCAAATACATACTATCGATGTGTTCTGTTTATTTCTTTTCTTTGCTTGCTTACGAACAACGATAAATCCTGACAATAATAATCAGCCCATTACCTATCTTTCACTTTATCACAAACAAACAAACAAATGAATGTGAATCCGTCTTCATCTTTTATCCAAAATTTATTCATTAATCTCTTTTTGATCAACTCGAACGAAATCAAATCAAATCAAACAAATATCAATAAAATCGCCATAGCATTTTACTCTCTCTACTCACTTTCAATTCAGTGCATTCTTTCTACTTCAAATGGCCTCAATAAATGATTTATGTATTCTTGTTTTTTCATGGTCTTTTGCTCATCAAAACACATCGTTGTTCGGGATTAAATTTACGCAAACCTTAATCAACACATATTCATTGAATTCAAAGTAACGAACTCACGCACAAAGCTGACAGATATGCTTTCATTCACATATACACGTTCAACGTGTACGTGTGTACAATCCTCACTCATTATTTATAACAATGGCAAGTTGGGAATAATCAAAATCAGCAACCCATAGAGAAAGGGACGCATGAAGGAAACAAGGCAGACTGCCTATTTTGAATCACTAAAATCTCGCTGATTTCCTTGACTATTTTCAAAGTAAAACGAAAAAAATCACATCTTAACACACAAAAAAAAACAGTTCGTAAAACAAACTGTCAATGTAATTTTGTTTTATCAGCTAATCTCAAACACCCCTCTTGAAAATGTGTCATTTATTTGAGACTGCAAATTTGATTCATTGCATTTAAGGCCTATAAGCATGGACTTTACGGCAGTAAATATGTTTGGTTTTTCATTGGTTGGTACGAAGACACATGGTTTTTACCACTTAAAGATGAAATGCTCAACTGTACTGCATCACAGGTAGGGTAGACTGATCGATCTATAGGTACAAGATAGATCAGTGATTCGCACGCTCTTGTGAGTCAATTCATTGTGATCAAACGAACAACATTATTGAGCGATTATGAAAGAATTGTACCAGTCAGCAATGATTTGCGAATATTGTCAATTTCTCTTGATACTCCAAATTGCTCGTGAGAGGGAATCTCCTCCCAATGAAAACCATTAAGATAGATAAACGAATCATAAGCGCATGTTTGCATTTATTCAGTCTTATTCGGTTCAGTTCATTAGCAATTTAGGTTGCCCACCAACGTCAATCCTGAATCTTGCAGACGTATCCATCCAGTCGTTGCTAAACTCTGGGATGGAAGAGGGTCAGGATTGAAGTTTCCAACTTTTCAAAAACATTTTCTGGAATCAACGTGCTTTAAAACGCCTTAACCCAATGAAGAACTGAATATAAACATGAACTAGATGACCGCAGCAGCACAATATCACATCACAACCGAGAGTATTATGTTGAGTCGAGACCAAAAGCCCACTGTATCTGGAATGACCGGTGAGCAGTTTCAACGTCGACTCAAGAGGCTTATCGAGACAGATCCAGCGAATACGGGTGGATTTCCAGAAGCACCTTTAGCATACGACGCTGTTTGGTAATTATACTGAATTAAACTGAAACAATACCAGCTTCATTATTTGATGATTGTTTTGCATACAGACTAACCACTCAATTGCTGCTTATAATAATTTAATCGAATGATGATATGCTTCATATTATGCTTCACTGATGAAATTCAGGGCAGTTGCACTTGCGTTCAATTGTACATTGGCTAAAATGTCAAAAGCTGACAGTTTGGAGAATTTCACCTACAATAATACAGTCATTGCTGATCAACTTTTCAAATGTGTTGAGCACACTCAATTTAAAGGCGTTTCGGTATTGTTTCATCTTATTCATCTATCTCTTCCTCTGTTATCATTAAAATTTTGCAGATCAGTCGCAGTTTAGGGCATTGCTTACCACCTTACACTAACCACCAAACTTTCTGATCGTTACCAAATGAATTTTCGTCAGGGCATGCTGTTTCCAAGCATGTTGATTCTAAATTCTAAAACTGTTGAAAAATAAAAAATTTCGACCTCGACGTCTTTCCATCTTGTGATAAGTAGTGATATGTTGGATGAGTATGAATGGCAGCACTTTGGGGTGGTGGTTGAAATCTGAATGGAATCCCTACTTACATCACCTAATATATACATAGGGTTGTTTTATTTATTATGAATTATAAACGTCTTAAGCCAGACGCATCTCTACATCAACTGATAAATACATAACGAAACACCAACGTCAAAATATTTGCTGATCTTCTCTCTATTTTTTTTTTGTTTTTGCTAAAATTCTTTGTTTGCAGGGTCAAGTAATGTTCTCGGACTCAGGCGATCGCATTGCACGAACTCAAATTGAACAATTACAGGGTATTTGCTATCTACCTACCCATCCATTTATCCATCAGTTCATCCAAAAAAATAAAGCTATAGTAATAACATTAATAAAATTAATTGTAAGTGATAATACGAGTATTGTTATGGACCGGATTACCAATTTCGGGTCAGGTGCTCCTATTATGGATTGATGATTCGAATTCAATGATTCTTTTTGCATACATTCATCATCTCCCACCTCATGAATAAACGGATATTGAAGATGGTCGGTATCAAATTCTCGGCACATATGATACAACAACTCAGTACCTCGACTGGTTCTCCAAAGAGAAATTCCCAACTGCAAATGGACTCGCACCACCAGATTCTACTATTATTCGTGAATCACTTCTTACCGTCACCATTGAAGTGAGTCACTCAAAACGCATCCTTTAATTCATAATACTTTAATGTCATAGAGTGGAATTTCCTCCCACGAGTAGAGAGACTGAAAAAAAATAAAAATCGGGACTGATAGTCATATCAATCGTTGACGAGAGAGCAATAGCGGTCTCCCATTGCTATATAGCCAAAGAAGCGCGGCAGTATGAGGGCTATTGTTTTGACTGTAACATAATATAAAAAATAACTTCAGTTGTATATTGCCGTTTGTGTACTTGCAATCACTGGTATGCTGATGGCGTTGACCGTCTTCATTTTCAATCTCAAAAATTCACATCGAGGGTTAATCATTTGCTGATAACTGTTTGAATTGCATATAAACATATTCATTTATTGTTGCTGTCATATACTAAAAGTAATTCTTACAGAATAATATTGCATTCTCAACCTCAATGTAATAACGTCTTAATTGCTGGCTGTGTTCTATGCTCAGTTAGTTTATTATTAATGGGATTGCCAGCACAAGGCATTACATTCCCCAGACAGTCGTTTACACTTCTATGTCATGTTCGTTTCTTAATTGTTGCTCCTAATTAATTTGAAAATGACACTAGCAATTAAAATAATGACACTATTATTAATGAATAACAAATTGCTGGATTGCAGTCACGTATATCAATTCTTATGATCGGTTTTACATTTGCATACGGCTCAATGTTTGCGAAAGTGTGGATCGTATACCGAATGGGTGCTTCTGAGAATCGTGAAGCGGCATCGCGACACAACAATTCTGATGAAGTTTACCTTTTCCTTAATTTATTTCATTCTTCACCTTTACCCTCTACCTCAAATAACCTAAGTATAAACCATTCATTTCATCTGAATATATATGTCAATATCTCAGTTCCCTCTCATATCGGACGCCAGCGGAAAAATCTCGACGTACAAATGAAAATTTCGAACTAGTTTAAGTGCACGCTCAGATATAGCTTGGGACAAAAATACAGGCTGAGGTCTATGCTTGGCTTTAGTCTTATGCTCATGTTTCGGTCAGTCATCTGTTCAACACTGTTCCAATTCATTTCCTTATCTCATACTCCATAACTGCTCTATTAATTCACATACTATTCCTACCATCCCATCCAATCATCCATCCACCAATGCACTAATTTGCTCCATTCCATCCCAAGCAATCCTCCTTCTACTCCTTTCACAATCCTCACTCAATACTTACATTCATCTCAACAATCTACATTGCTTATCATATCATATTACATCCTTCAATAACTGTAACGCTTTCATTGTCACATTTTGCACTAGTTTTTCCCTCGCCTTTTCTGTACCAATCACCACTATGAAATCACCTAATCTAAACTACTATTCTTTTTCACCAGCACAAAGATACTTATTACTAGGGAATACATTCGAATTTTAACGATGGAGTGAACGAATCAAATGATAATCATGCTAAAAATATAAGTGAAACTAAATGAAAATGACAAGTAAGGATGCCGTAAAAATGATGTTCATTAAAATTGATTTATTACTAACCTTCGAGGCATTAATCACTTATGGATACATCACAATAGAGTTGTTGCTAAGTTGATAGGCATAAAATCTAAACAAAATTCAAACTATTTATACTTGCTACCTCAGGATGACTCCTTCGGAGCATGGGAAGGTATTCGTACGTTAATCGCGTCCGTGATAGCCCGTCAAGCGATGGTGTCAAGTGCACTTCGAAAAGTATCTTCGCATGCATACGGTAGTCTGATGCCGAAGAAAACGTGCATTCTCAATCAGGTGCTAACTGTCTAAAAACCTCGTTATCATCACTTATTCATTAATTGATCCGTCAAAAAACAACTATACTTAGGCTATTATCAATATGAACCATAAGATATGTTTGAGCAAACCTTCAAATAACTGCGCATGTAAACATATCTTCCATCAGCCGTACACATCCAATATACTAAGCACTAATTTTTAAAAGTACTCACATACCAATCAGTTTTAATATAGGATCACTTTCAAATTCACTTCTATCCTTAGTTACCCAAAAATCCATCTACAGATATCATCCAACTCATTTAAACGCAGCTTCCAAGCATTGTCTAATTCTCCAAGTATAGTTCTCCATACTTCCGTCATTTGCTCACCATTCATTATTCTGTTATGCTTTTCTGCATTTCATCTAGCATTCTTGCTTCATCATTTCCGATAGCAATTATAGCAGCCTGACCATTATTCTCAGTTAAACATTCATCCCACGAATGTGCACATTATTGGATAAAATCATCATCAATTCATTCATATCAGTTTAATTCTCTTGTTTAACTTCAGTAAAAAAAGCAAGAGCCCACTTCTCTTCTAAATTTACCCAGATGAGTATACATCAAACTGTCTTCGTTCATATTTCCCCATGTCCTCCACCCAATCATTCCTCCTTGAAACTTCCATCAAAAGTACGTTTGTTTGAGATTGAAAAATACGATATGTCTATAATATTTCGAAAAGAGACGTCAACTGAAGAAATATCTTCATTTCTATCATTACAATCATTTGAAGTTTAATTTCAAGGAGAAAGAAAAAAATTTTTTGGCAAATTTATTAAATTGCATCAGTTTTCTGTATCCAATGTTTAGAATAGTTTTAGAAAAAATTAATTTCATCAAAAATTCAATTGATAAGATTGACTATCAACCAAAAATGTATTCAGTAGCAGATTTGCTCACTCATACTTCAATTTTAGCCAATTCCTGCCGGTAAATTCTACTGGGTTATTGCTGCCTTCTTTATGGTCGACTTTTTCATCATCACCGCTTGGATTGCACTCGATCCTTTGCAGAGGGAAGAGAAACGATTCCCTTTACAGGTTCATTCATTCATTCACTCAGTCAGTTCTTGTGTTCAAATATCATCTCACTGTTATTCTCATTATTATTATCACTGTTGTTATTCTATTAATCATACAGTACTGTCAGCTAATCACTTCATTCGTTCAATTATACAATAATCTCAGTCGTGATTTAACCACCCAAATTCATTCCACTGATTTATTTGATTTATTAAAGGAACCACCCGCCGGTACAAATGAAGATGTGATGTTACTTCCGATTCTTGAACTTTGTCAGAGTAATCATCAAGAAATTTGGATCGGTCAGCCCCTCTTCTAATTGCTCATTTGAGCTTATTTCAATGAATGTTGCGATTTGTCTGCAACCTCAGTTCAATAATCATAAATCAGTCGATCATATTCATTAATAACGGTTGTTGTTGTTGATCATCAGTTCAATTCAATACTTCAGTAACACATCATTTGATCAATCAACAGCTACCTTGGTCATGCAAAAAACCGAGATATTTCATTTATGAATCACCACATTTCAGGCATAATCATGGGTTATAAATGTTTATTATTGATATTTGGATTGTTGCTCGCTTATGAGTCAAGAAATTTGAAACTCCGTTTTGTGAACGATTCACGTTTCGTTTCATTGGCCATCTATAATGTGGCTATTCTATCACTACTTACCGGACCTGTTGTCACACTTTTGATACGCTCTCAAGCCGATGCTAACTTTGCTTTTGTTAGCTTTACTGGTCAGTCTGGTTAGGTCATTCGTTTCGTGTTCATAAACATCTTCAATGAATCATTAATGTAATGTTGCAGTACTTCTATGCACCTACATAAGTATTGCGCTTGTATTTCTACCGAAGATTCTCTACATTTATCGTGTGCCTGAGAGTTCAGACCAAAGCAGTGTCAGTGCTCGAGCGCATGGTGTCGCTCAGATTCGCACAAAACTTACAAAAATCGAGCAGAAACGTTATGAGCAACTACTCGTTGAGAATACGGAATTGAAACGTCAAATTGAAATTGTATGTTCACCATTAATCATCTTTTAGATCAGTGGTTCTCATGGGGTGGGGAATTCCCCTTAAGAAAGAGGGAGGGGAACCTGAAGATGTCAGGGATGGGAGGATTCAAGAAGGCAGTAACGAGTTTTCAAAAACGTCTATCCTCAATAAGGGGAAACGACAATTTCCCAAGTGGTGAAAACGAAGAAGAATGGAATATGAGAATCTTGTTTACATGCTCTACCATTGTTTACATACTACATCTATGTTGATAAATTGAAGGAGTTTAACTGATTGCAGCGAGAACGAAAGATCAGTGAATGCCGTGAACGAATACGTCGTCGACTGACCGCACGGAATGGGCACGACCGAAAAATGGATAACATAACTGAAGAGACAGGAAACGGGACGATCGAAACAGCTGTTACTGATAATGAGCCACGCACAACTTCACTACTAGTATTGCTATCAACTGACAATAGCACTAGTAATCTCAACCAGAACAATGGCAACAAAATCAGTAATGAGTTGAGTTTGAACAGTGAAGAGAACGCCGCATGTTCATCACCAACAACGCTCACCACTACTGCCTTAATAGAACTGCAACCCAGTGATGACTACAATTGCTCGTGTAATTATTTTGTATCATCAGCATATCTCATTGAAAGAACCAATCGAAAATTGACTTTCGACTGCAGTAAGCCTTCACTAAATGCTCAGATTTTTCCTCAGTCAACAAGTAATCGTAATATGCACTGTTTGAGCAAGCATACTGTTCTTTGCGAAACAAATCTACGATCGAGCTTAAGTGTGAACATAAACCTCTTCTATTCGTTGATCATACAAATTAATATACGATTTACAGATGCGCCGTCAAATGATAAGTGGCTAGAGGAGAACGATGCAAAGCAAAAGAAGTGCCAAATTGAAAACAACGACAACACTTGGTCATCTTGTTCGGATGAGATTCTATTATGATATGAGGAAATAGAGCTATTATTATTGTTATTTTATTATTATTGTTATTACCATTATTGTTTTATTATTACTGTTATTATTATTTAGTATTTATTATTATTATTATTATTATTGCTATCATTAATAATTATTATTACCTTCAGTCTTTGATTCCAAGAGAAAATACTTAGATTTTCGAACCACCACCGTGGCAAAGGCATTCAAGGCTTTATATAAATTTACTTTGAAAATTTGCATTTACATGCTTTAATGACGGAGTTTTTAGAAGTGATAGCCATCGATTATTGAGTGCTGAATGAAATGAAATTGAAATGTTTCCAATCGTTGTAATATTTTCTTTGTTTTTGCATCTTCGACCTTAGGGAGATAATCACTGACCAATACATACCTAAATCGAAAAAGTGTGCTGTTTCTGCTAGTTTGGTCCTTAATCGAGGTTGGTGCATCATGTATCGTGAGGCTGATAATTTTGTAGATCCCTGCTTTCTAGGTGGCCATTTTTAATCACTTAATTATTAATTATGTGCTTATTTACTGATTTATTTGAATTGATTTCTCAAAAAAATTATTCCAAATGTAGCAATTTTAAAAAATTATTAACATCTTAATCAGTTTGGTATTTCATTGTATTATCATCAATTGTTCAGTTATTAATTGCCATTGTCTGGCCGTTATTCATTTATTTTACGCATTTCATTCATTCCGGACCTGTAAACACAACGGTTTTTCAGAGCCGTAATCTGCTGGATGCAATAGCTGATCCGCTAGCAGCGCAATGCGCAATTAATTCCATTTTGCTGATGAGATAGACCATTTCAGTTTTGAACAAATACACATTTCATCACCAAAACGACAATTTGATATTCGAATCATTAATTCATTTCAGTCAAATACATAAATATGTCTACTACCTTCACGTTCATTATCAAATGATATGTTATATAAGACTACTGAAATTATTATTTTTGTAATTATTATTACTTCGTTAATTTCTAATTGTGTGTTGACTAATCAAAAAGAAAATCTATTAGTGGAGGACTTGGAGATAATGAAGAAAATTTTGAATTCAGATTCCCTCATGAATCAGAAGTTAAGAAGACATTATGACGATAATCATGCTTAGAGATTGGCTATATTTAGCGGATGTGATATAAAAATGAGCTTTTGAATGCAAAATGAGAAGAAACAAAGAAATTTACTACTAATTAAAGGCGAAAACAATGGTTGACAATAAATAAATTACCTAACTGACAACAACAAAACAAAGTGAAATAATGAATGAGCAACAACCACGAACAAAATAATTCTGTCAAAATCAATCATCAACAAATCACAATTAATGAATGAGTGAAGCAACTGAGTAATTCCTCATAACAATATACCATAAACAAGCTTCACATAATCCACCATTAAAGTGTATATTACAAGCAGTGTATGATTCATACAACACCTCTTTGCGGACTTACTAAATTCATATATTCATACTGGAAGAAATGTTTCGAGATGGATAATGAGGTTCTGTCACAACAAAACGAAGATAAAAATGTCTTTCTTCTAAACATGATAAAATTACCTTATCAGTGAGATCAGACCAAATCCGACATAATATTATAAAATTGGTAATAGCAGTATTGGTTTTAAAACGAGTAGACAGCGTATTGATAAATCTTAAACGATAAAAGATAAGAAACATGTACAAAAGGATCGACAGATAGATAAGTAGTATTTGTTATTAATTTTATTGATAAACTATATAGTAGACGTAAACATTTATCCATTTATATATGATCAAACATTATTTATTATTATTATTATTATTATTACTATTATCATACTACACTGTATGTAAATTTAGTAGTGTTTATTACAATTTATGTATGTTTGTTATGTACAAGATACGCAGTGTAAGAGCTGGTCAGTTACCGAGCGGGCGGGCAGGCGAGCGATCGGGCTTGTTGATTTCGGAGAAGGGCAGCAGCGGCGGCAACGACTCCTCGCACGTTTAGTTTTAGGTTGTAATGAAGTCAGATGTAATTAATAACAATTATTAGTCTCACTCTTACGAAACAAACCGATCAAAAGATGTCTAAAAACTAGCAGATACGAATATATGGGTAGGGAGAATAAAACAAAGCTGCAACTAGACATTAACAAATGCCTTCTCATCATTGATTACTATTTAACTACTGCAAAAAAAGACACAACACAAGCAAGAAGAACTGATGAATATAATCAAATGCACGGGTGAACCATTAAACGAATAAATAAATAAATGATTTCGAAGAAAATGATAACAACAACAGGAATAATAATAACAATAATAATCATAATCATAACACTGATTATAATGACAACACTAAAAGTAACTAAACTGAAGTACTGAGCAAACGAATGATTGGATAAATCTCGCTCTATGTTTACGTATCTATTTTTTGAAGCATTCATTTAGGTCAGTAGTTCTCAACCTTCTTTGCGCCCGCACCCTCTGCAAACCTTTATGATGCCTTCGCATCCCCTACAACAACAGTTCATCAAAGCATGAAACGCGACCGAAGGAATTATTTTTTGAAGTATTACCTACTTTACACACATGTATGTGTTGAACTCCGTCCTCGCCTACTTTAATGTAAAAAAAATGAAACCTTATCTCGCACCCCGGTTGAGAAAGCCTGATTTAGATTGGACCGTAAAAATCACATAGCATAGATCTGATATGGTAACAATTAAAAATGCTTCTTTTCCTTCCGGTCTGCTCTCGTATTCATATCGTACAGCCAACAATCAAAATATTTTCTGGATCACCAAAACCACAACTTCTCGAGATGACACGTACAGGGATTTACGCTGGTGCTGAGATCACAACAAGTTTAGACTGGAGCTTGATACTATTTGCTTTGGCATCAGTTTGAAGGGGTGACACGTCTGCATTTCTGACCTAAGGGCCATAATATGTATGTCACTGAAATAATCATCAACGATACCATTATATTTTCCCTAATTGAGGTATGACACTTGAAAGGCATTTCATCAACTTCTCCATCTTGTTTTCTTTCCGGCTTTCCCCATCAACAGCGGATTTTGCTCTGCCATCTATCGACGTTACATAACAGTTTCACCTTCTGAAAACATTGGCAACGCTAAGAGAGCGAATAGTCAGCCTGATCAGACCAATCACAGCAAAAGAAATAAGATGGTATTAACATCATCAATATTATCATTGGAAGGATGGACAATGTTGTTATCTATTTAACATCTAACAGTGATAAATAGAAATCATGAACCGGCTTTAAATTAGTAACAACAACGCAGTTTCAATATTGCTGTTGTCATTTTTAATAGTGATGATATTGATGGTGGAACTGTAGTATGAGTTGCTGCAAGCAGATATGAATCAAAAGAAAATATTGAGCGACCAACCAGCTGATGATATGTAAGTGTGACTGATTGAACAAACCAAAAGAATGAAAACGAGAACGTTTTAAACCTCATACAGATCCATCATGTGTTGTATTTTAGTCTGTTGTAACCCTCAGACTAAACACAAGCTTAAGAGTAAACCTGAACTTAAACTCGAACTTAATCCGAGCAGATATGACTAAAATATACTCACTCGTATGTACTACTATTGCCCGGAAATTCATAAATTGCTCAGAAAACCAGGTAAGCAGGCAATCAGATGAATAATGATTTACTGTGATTTAATTCTATAAATGGATCAACTAATTATTAAAGCAAATAAATATTACCGTTACTACCGTCATCAACAACAAAAACCAACTGTGATGTATTTCTCAGTTGTTATCTGCCAACACAAATCTCATACTAACTACAAATGCCCTTTTTGGATGTTTAAAAGCACCCTTACCTGCACATACACCGCATACAGAGGTAGTGTGATTATATCACTATTATTTTACTTTTGTTATTATTACGATGACGATATTTTCAACAGGTTATAATTGCGTTCTGCTGAAATTGAATCACATACATATCATTCAATGCAGAGATTTATGAGATACGATACGATGTAAATGTACAAAGCACAAAGCATTTTAACAGAGTAATTGCAT